GGCAAAATCCAGGCCCCCATGCCCACAGCCGTGGGACTATAGACTTTTATACCCTAAGCCCTAACCTGAAACCCTGCAGAGCCCGAAATCCTACTAAGGACCCTGTACACCTAATACTACCCGTAGACCCCAACCCCATGGCCCTAACCCTATCCCTTAATGTGACCCCTTACCCTACCTCTTAACCCGACACCTGGTACTAACGCTAATCCCTAACTCCTAACTCCGAACCCATAATCCTACCTCTGTCCACTAACCCTGTCATTATCCCTGACTGCAGGGAAAAGAGAAAGGGAAGCATGTACCATACTTTTGCTGAATGATGGACTAGTGAGAAAGCTTTCTTGACGGAAGGGCAGTATCGTTCCTTTTTTTAATGGCAATTCATAATGTAGATGGCCATTCTTGTACCACTGAGAATTCTATGGGGCAAATACCCTCGAGCGCTCTTTTTCAGTGGAAGGAGGGCTTTTTGTGCATATCCAACAGTCAGGTTGTTTTCATCTGCTGCTGTATTCTGGACTGTGGCTATGGACGATCATGCAAGGAATATGTATAATCCTTAATGCACCACAGGCTTATAAGGAAGGCTGCCATATCAAAACATAGGCTGCCAAATCACTGTTACCAGGAAAACCAAGGAGATGGAAATAGCAAAAATATCTATCCCTTGGGTCTATACGACAGCACTGCAATCAAAAGTGTTTCCTGACTCCAGAAAAGCAAAAGGCATTTAAAAATCTAAACCAAGCAGCAGCTGAAGCTCCCTTGTTAACACTTCCAGACTACAACAAACCTTTTATATTATATTTACATGAACAGATAATAATAGCCAGTTGTCCCAGAAACATCTATAAGCCATAACCCAGCAGAACTAGGCCTTGTAATTCCAAGCATGATCTCATGCACTAGGACTGTTGCAAGCAGCAGCTGTGATGATTGGGAAAGCAAGAAATATTGTCCTGGGGCACCTCCTAATGCTAATGGTTCACTCCTTGCTTTTGAATCCTCCTCTTCTGAGTTCAAGCAACTGTGGATGTGCCACAGTTGAGATATAGAATCATCGAATCATAGAATCTTTTGGGTTATAAAAGACCTTTAAGAGCATCTAGTCTAACCGTTTACCTAGCACTAAGTCCACCACTAAACCTTAAGTGCCACATTTACAGGTCTTTTAAATACCTCCAGGAATGGTGACTCCACCACTTCCCTGGACAGCCTGCTCTAGTTGTGCCAAGGCCCTGAAGTCTCTCTTGATTGCCCTTGGATTTCTTACTGCAACTTTGCTGCCTACCTGAAAAAAACAATAATGGATAATAATCTCAGGGCTGTACCATAGCAGGAAGCTTATTCTTCACATCTTTAACTGGGGCTCTAGAGAGACAACAGACTTCCCTAAGAAGTGGGTCTGGTCTGCATATTGGACCTTCTGTACTTTTCAGAACGGAGTCTCCCATGACAATGGCTCATCTTTTGTATTTACGGAAGCAGTACAAGTACATTGGTTGATGGCCATAAACATAAATGGCCATTGGCTTCTGACTGAACTTTCCATAAATGCAACAAGAGACACTCAGATACCCTGAGATGTCCCCTCCCTTCACTGGGCCCGGGCATGGGCAGCCAAGCACCACGGCAGCCTGGGTGTGACAGGAGGGGACATCAGGTGATGACAGCCTGGGTGAGAGGAGGGGTTAAGGGAATCTTAGCAGTTAATTAGTAGATAAGGTTTGAAATCTTGTTAGCTTTTGCGTAAAGTAACTAAAGCAGGAGATACGTAGTTCCTTACAAAGACAGTTCCTGATAAACTGACAGGAGTGAGAACACTTGTAGCTCCTCACAAGGACGGTCCCTGATAAGAACCAGGAGAGTGCCTCAAGAACCGGCTGAAACTGACCTTGTGGTTTGGACGAAAACCAAAGAACAACTGAGTCTGCGTAAGAACAAGGGGTTACTAGTGGTGATGAAGAGGAGCCACCGGCCTTCATCCTCACGACCCTCAGCGACCACCACCAGAAGGCACTGCGCAAGCGCAGATGGGAGGAATTCATGGAAATAACATCTTGGAACTCATTTCAGTACAAAGCGGGAACAGATCATGCATATGTATAGGCATATTGCGAAACTTTATGTATATGCAACACTTTGCTGTATGTATTTGAAGTAAGTGCCGCATTGGGGCGCGCACGGTTTTTGGTGGGACTACCCCCCCGTGCTGCCCAGCGCTGAATAAACATACCTACTTTACAATCTTACAGATTGTGGAGTCTGTTTTCCGCACGTCATGGGGTTGACAGGCCATTGGGCAGTGATTGGCCCAGGGGTGTTGGGAGAGCCTGTGCAGGACCAGAGGCTGACGGGAGGTGATGCTGGGTGGTGAAGGCCCAGGGGGTGACAGGAGGGACACCACAGGCCTGGGGGGTGATGGGAGACGGCTTTTTTGTCATAAGGTCACCTGAGGCATGGGGGGTGGGTGCAATGTGCTGTTGGGCACACCCAGTGATGCGATCAGGGCAGCCCCTGCAGGCAGCCCCTGTGGAAACCCCCTCAACAGAACACTGAGGCAGAGGTGCTCGAGTCCCCACATTGAGTGGTTGGGCCTGGGAGCACCACGTATGAGAGGGGGAGCAGAGGCCAAACTGGGGCTGTGGGGTCTCTGCCCGTCGCCTGTCCACCCACCCATCACTGAGGGCCGCAGGCCGGAGTTGTTGCAGGGGTGAGCTCAGCCCACACTGCTTGCCCCAGCCCCCTTTGGTCTGCTGTGGTAGACGCTGTTGTGGAGCAGGCCCCGACCATGTCGTGAGTCCACTACAAGTTCTCCTCCAAGCTGAACTATGACACAGTCACCTTCAACAGCCTCCACATCTCCCTGTGTGACCTCAAGTGCCAGATCATGGGCTGGGAGAAGCTGAAGGTGGCCAGCTGTGACCTGCAAATCACCAATGCCCAGACCAAAGAAGGTGCGTGGGGGCGGTGGGCATGGGGGCTTGGGGACCGCCTGGCTGTCAGTGTTGCGGATCACCCCACGATGGCCACAACCTGTGGGATCCACACTCTGCTCTTTGTGGCTCATCCCCACATAGTGTGAGTCAGTCTGGGGCCCATCCTGCTGTTGTGCTCGGGGACTGAGAGGGCAAGCAGAGTGGGAAGTGATAATGTGACCTGGCCATGATTGGTAGCCGTGGCTTGTGGTGGGGGCCTCACAGAGCTGTTCTTTTGTGGTTGTTGTTCTGACAACTACCTTCAGATCTATGTTTTAGACATGGAGTAGGTGTAGAGGAATATGTGGTTGATGTGTGATGTGTGATGTACAGGGCTTATGAAAGTTTTGGTTTCCTGGAACTCTTCTAGGTAAAATGATAAGGAAACGTGGGAGGATATCTTATAACAACAAACTCTCCAGATGTCTTAGAAGTCTGGTGGAGAAAGATGAAAGGGATGGAAACAGAACAGGTGGCTAATTTGAAGAAAAAAATTGGGTTTGGTGACTTAGTTTTGTCTTCAACTTCGTTTCCTCCACTGCACTGGAAAACTGTTTTTGTGGCTGTTGCAGAAACTGCTCACTAGCAACACTTTGGATCAAGAGTGTATCTGTGAGTTATAATCTATGCAGACCCTTTAATGCCATCTCTTCCATCTCTTCTCTGTATCTAAATTATACCTTGGAATTTCTTGTTAATGTAACTTCTTTTCTACACCAAAGACATTGTCATTCATGTGCTATTGAGCACTATTTCATCATTCGTTTCTAAGCATGTTTGTTTCCCTGGTACCTCATGTTAGCCATAGCAGGGCAGTACCGAATTTATACAGCAGAACATCTATCATGACTATACGTAAGAAGTGTTCTTAGAGAGGTCATAAGTTCTTTTAAATCTAATAAATGGTGCTTGATTCTCACAGATGATAATGGATTTGTAGTACTTAGTATGATATTTCAGTTTTTTGAGGTGCCATCTCGATATGTTTGAATGTGATTACAGACTTTGGCACATGACTTTTCAGAGATAGAAAGACTCGTAAAGAGTTTTCATTCCTTAAACATTAAATTTCTTTGGAGTTTTTTCCTGTGGTTCTGTGACATTCTTACAACAGTCCTTTCTTTAAAATGTGTACTAGTGTGTTTTTTTCCTCTTCCTGTTTCATGTGTTAAAACTTAAAGAGAATAATATGTACACGGCGGTAACTGTAACTTCAGCCCTAGTCTTTAAAGTGGTTGGACTTAAAGCTTGCTGGTTATCTATGGATATTTAATCTATCTATTTTCAGGAGGACTGTAGAGACATTTAACAGCAGAATGTTAGGGATCTTAGGGATGCCATTGGATTGCATGACACGCATAGGTAGAGATACATTTCATACGTCTTGAATTTTTCTAGTAGTACTGAAGAAAATTGTCAAGAGCTTTTGAAAACTGTTTAGTTTGCTTTAAGGGCTTTGCTGCAGAAGAGTCTATGAATTTTGTCATCAGTTGCTAATGTACTTTCAGCTTCACAAATGCTAGCAGGCTGAAAGGCCAACTGGCTGACGTCACTCCTGTAACCATTTGGCCTGTGTAAAACAGAGCCTTAAAATTAGAATGTTGGATGGTAATAAACTGTGACAGAGCCCAATGATTATCACCAGAAGAAAAGATGCTTTGAAATATGCCAAACACATGGCTTCTGCTACAGCAAGTGTGGAACAGAAAGCAAAGCTGTAGAAGAAAAACTTGGTTTTAGTGGCACAGATGCTTATTGAAGCTTTCGTAAGGGTGTTTTCCATGTGAAAACGCAAAAATCCCCCAGTGGTTTTCAGAGCAAAGCTAGAGAATACATTTCCACATAATGTATATGACTGCCAAATTTTTGTTTTATATGAATAAAATGTGTTCTTGGGAGTTACCCTGTTTTCTGGTAGAGACAGTCGGGCATGGTAGTAGTCCTTTTTATCTCTTACTCTGCAAATCCTGCCCCCAGTAGCATAACAGCTGGTTAGCAAGGCACCTAAGCCTAATGAAGGCTTTTCTTTTTCGTTTCACTTACAGGCTTGCCTTCTGATGACTTCTGTTCTGATGAGCTTCTGTGCTTTATCTGGGAGAAAATAATTCTCTAGGTAGTGCTCAGAGAGATGCTTTTGCAAGGCTGGCAGACTCAGAATGGTGCATTAAAGCAGACCATAACAACAGTAGGAACTTTTTTCAGTAACTTGTTGATAGCCTACATATGACACAAATGATTGAAACTAGCAGATTTTCAGGATTATAGATGAATTTAAAAATGGGATTTTTAAATTGTACATTAACGTGAAGCAGTATGAACTTCAAAGCATGACTTGAGCTGTTTGTACTTTTGTGTGGGAAGAAGCTTGTGGACACTAATGCAATCGTTGACTTAAGATTTTGAAGAGCATATGAGGGAGCAATCAAAGTGTCTATTGTTTCACTTGTCTGCCTCAGTTCATTCCTTGAAATACTTCTTTCCCTTGACTCTTTCAAGCCTACTCTTTTCTGGTAGAATAGGTAGCAAGTTTTAGACTGCAATGTCTCCTCTGCTTTTGACTTTATTATAACATCCAAATCTTCCTTTGCTATTGCAAGCTTTCTGAGTTAATTGCATTGACGCGGAAGTCTCGGACACGACGCATAC